AACCACTGTGGCTCAGGTTTACTTCCTCCTTTAAAACAGTGAAGTGTTTCTTCCTCACTATCTAACCTCTTTCTAGGACATTCTTCCTTAATTAAAACTACTACCCTTGTTCCTTTTATATGATTCTGAAGTTAAAACTAAAACACTATTCAGTATACTGTTTCATCTCTGTCTCCCCTTCTGACTTTAGTTAAATATTTTTAGGAATTTTGGGTTATCCTTTGTTTTGTTGAAAATATGCACATGCATATGTAATCAACACCCATTATCATCTTGTATCAAGATCTTCCTCATTTCTTCAAAACAGTTTTTTTCCCCCATTGATTTGTGTCTCTGTCCTGCTCTAAAGTCTTGATAGTCTCTCACTGTCCTAAGGATCAACCTGAAACTCCTTTGCATGGCGATTAGGAATCTTAGAAATAGAACCTTAATCTCAACCCATCTTTTTCGTTTTATCTCCAGCTACTTTCTTCCTCAGCTCTCTTTCCCAGACACGCTCTTCTCATCATTTTCTGAGCCCACTCAGATACCCTCAGCACCCTGTAGTCTTGATCACATCTTTCTTGTTCAGAGCACCCTGTTCCTTTGGGCAACTCCCACCCATTTTTCATGGTCAACATTAGTGCTCATTTCTTTGAAAATTTTCACTACAATAATCAGATATTTCTTTTCGACTTACAGCATTTGTTGCCTAAAATATATTTAGCAATTAATCACCCACAGCCTCAAATTTTCTCTTATAGTATTATTTTTTATATTATATTTTCAGGTTTTGTTTTCTGAAGAATACTCCAAGGCAATATTGTGCACTGGAACTTTTGTTAAGGCTCAAGGAAATGCACTAGGATGTTGTGGCAAGGTCATATTACCATAGGATTTCTAAACGCTTGCTCTCATTTTCTGAACTTCACTTGCTGCTGCTACCACTTTCAAAACCCCCTGCTTAGGTTCCTTGCTAGAGCTCTGTGGGTACAATAGCAGCAGGGCCATTATCTTGCATACAGAATTTGCTCACTGCTGCTTGTCAATTCATTATTTACTCATTATTGGCTGTCAGTCACTCTTCTTGCCTATATTACAACATGAAAATTAGGTATTAATAATGCAAAGACACTGAATTCCAATAAGGGCCATTAAGCTGTGCTATGAAAAATGCTTCTAAAACAGATTATTAGTTATGTTTCACCTCTTTTTAGAACTGACATACATTAGTACTTTGTTAAAAAAGAAAGGTCTTTCCTGCATATTAAAAAAACTTGATGAAATACGCTAGATAAAATTAAATTATGAATTTGACTTTTATATTTAGCACCAAATGAAATGGGAAAACTATCCTCTTTTACAATTAAAATGCCCAGCTAAACTCTCCTGCCATATGAAATTATTTTCCTACACATAAAAGAAAAAGGCAATATTGATGCTTTATAATGTGGTATACAGTCAGGATATTTTTGTTAACTAGAATAAAAAATTAGGGCAGCATTTAGCATATGCCACTTTTAGAATAAAGCTGCAAATAACAAGCAGTTTCATGTTCAAAAAAAGTTTTGAGTTCGTCGAACTCATTATTGTTAGCATATATGTGGTTATAAAATGAATAGCATGAAAATATCCATGATATATATAATTCAATCAGAAATAAATTTAATCTAAGAAAGTACAGACTCAGATTTTTAAAAATTAAAGTCAAAGATTTCTTACACATTAAAATGTTATTTATTTTTTCTCATATATGAAAAATACATACTTATTCCAAACATAACATAACTATTCAAAAAATTTTAAGAGCTGCTTACTTAATTTTTACATTGGTTTCATAATTTTAGAGAGTATTCTCCCCTCCTTAGGGGTTTTCCTCTGTTCCTGGGTCAGGATGTTGATACTGAAATGAATGGGGGACTCATACTTAGCACAGGAATCTTTCCTTGCTCTCAGGAGCACAAGCAGGCTCTCATGTTCTGAGCATCCAGGACCACCACTCAGTCCTATCACATCATGTCCAGCAGGATATCAAACGATGCTAAGCAGCTATTAACCAACATGAAATTCTCACCTTTGATATCATCTCATTTGTTCATTTGTTAGTTGGCCTGTTCATTTCAGAAAAGATTTACTGAGCCCAAACTTGTACGCAAGGTGCTACATAGACATAAAGCTGCATAAGGCAGGACCCAGTGGTACTTAGTCTGGCCAATGAACAGAGCACAAGTACCTGTGACAATATGATAAGCCCAGAAATGAAGGGAATGAAAAACATTATGGGAGGGGCTAATGAATTTTGTCCAACAAGAAAAGTGGGTTAGGTAGAAATGGCTATAAAGAAACATGGTATCTAATTTGAGACTTAAAGGATGAGTTGACTTTTAGTGAGCATAGAGGGGGATATCAAGATGCTTCAGGCAGAGGGGACACTGTGGGCAAAGGCCTGGCACTGTGCTCATGGCAATGAGAGAACTGTGATTGTCAAGTGGCAAATGGTTAGAGATGCATCCTAAATACAGGCTGAGTCAGGTTCTAAAGGGCTTTGAATATCCAAGAAAAGACTTAAGACTTTATGTAGAGAGGTAAGACATAGAGTTTATCATGAGTTAGTGGAAACCAAATAGCTGACATTGAAGAAAAACCACCTCACTAAATCATTAGGAATATTGATCTTGACTGTCTGAATATGATAAAGAGTATGCCTCCTTTTCAATGCAAAGAAAAAAAAGAACACAAGTTTACTAAATTACTAAAGGAAGATTTAGCACTTTAAGAAATCAAATAGAAATAATTTAGAAAAATGAAATAAAACAGTAACATCTGTTATGGCAAATTCTACTTTCTAACTAGCTTATCTCTCTTCTTACCCCTCTTCACCCCCATTCTAATTCTCAAAGGCCTTCAGTTACTCCACATTGCCTAGCATTTGGCATTTCCAGAATTTCATGGTAATAACCTTATTTGGCATTTCCAGAATTTCATGGTAATAACCTTACTTATTTCTCCAGCCATATTTCTTCTAGCCATATTCTAGAACGTAAGTTTCTTGAAGCCAGGGTCTATGTCTACGGCATCCAGCCAATAATGTTCAGTGATGACTTCTAAATTGACATTTCTCCTACAGAGCTGAGTCTATGCCTGTTTCAAGCTGATAATTGTCTGCCTGTGAGTGTGTGTATGCACACATTATTTACCTACACAGTTTAAGAAAATTAAGCCAACTGTAGTTCTACTAATTTTCCATTCTCATAGCTGTTAAATTATTTTAAATGAATCAAACTTATGCAGTGTGCTAATTGGCAACATTGACCCTAAAAATAATGTTAATTTGCTCAGTTTTACAGACTTCACATGTCACTAAAAATGTTTTACCTAGTATAAGGCAGAATCTCTGATTCATTCATAAAGAGCAAACAATTGTCATTCAAATTTCATCATTCCAAGACTGGAAAAGGAGGCTCCAAATGGACATCCTGCTTCTCAGTGCAGACTATCTCCGTAATGGTAGAGAAGCCACTCATGCCGGAGACCTTAATATCTAGGCACAGGGTCTCTGCCACCTTAAAGTAGGTAAGAAGGCAATGTAATCTCATAGTAACACAGATGCAGGAGTAAAGAGACATGGATTCAAATCCTAGCTCCATTTATTGGCCCTGAAACACATGCGAAAGTCACCTTCTCTCTCTAAACCTTAGTTCCTTCATCTCAATAATTATACCTATCGCACAGGGCTATTATAAGGACTACAAAACATAATATATGAGTCCAATGCTGGCATATCTTTCTCTTCCTCCTCCTCCCCCCTAATAATAATAATAATAATGAAAAGGAGGAGGAAGAAAATAATGAGAAGAAGGAGAAGAAATATCTTATTGAATATTTACTAGGAGAAACTGAAGTACAGAGAGGTCAGTAGCTTGCCTAAGGCCCCAAAGCTATGAGATAATGGGGTAATGCAGATGTCTAGTTCCTTACATATGACATGTATTTCAGGAATAGAATTTGTCGCTTTTACTACCACTACCACTGTTTCTTGTATTACTGTTATGGCTACTCTTCTACTACAATTTATGATGACAATATAGTATTCTAAAGGCAGGGTCTACATCTCTCATGTTTACTGTTGATGGCCAAAACTCGTATAGTGTCAGGCATATCAGAACATTTTATTATTAAATGAATTCAGGCCATAGTCCTTTTGTTGGTGAGACAGGACTTCTAGCTTACATCCCTAACTCTCTGTATTTCTATTTCATCAACCAGTTCACTTGGGCACTGTCATCAGGATCCACTGAGGCCCTGGCAGTTAGTTGCTGACATATCCTTTTGGTGGGGGAGGGAGACTGTCACTGTCTAGATGACTATCCTCTAGTGAATCAAGCAACTCCATCTTTGGGTACTGGTTTAATTTTCTTAATTCCTGTATCACATGAATCTTTAGTGCCCTAAAGTCTAAGCTTGCTCAATAATGGATGACCTACACATAACCGAAAAGCACTCTTTCATTTTTCTAAACAAAGGAGAACGTACAAATATATTTGGCTTCAATTTGAATATACTAAAAGAGCAAAGTTAAAGGTGTCAATTTCTTTTTTTTATAATAACTATTTTCACTAGAATAAACAAAGTCTAAGTAAACAAAACATTGACTACATTCATGATTCCCAGCAATGAAAGTAACTTTAATTACTACATTCTTTCTCCAAGGCAGATTTTTAAAACTCTTTCTCATGCCTTTGTGTCTCTAACATTGGACAAGAGCAATTTCTTGAGGAAGTCTTTCTTCATTTTCAAAATGACTTTGACAACATAAAACAAACCCAGATGGCTTCTGAAACTGCAGTCTGGCAAAGAGCACCTGGTTTATCAATCCTTAGATAGTGGGACCATTTATTTTAAACAACTCTTTCAGCCATTTTCCCAATAGTTTTATAATCGTTGCCATCCTCATATCTGTTTGGGCTGTTCTGTCATTATAAAGAAACAATGTATTGTATCTTCAAAAATACAAGGCTTACCGATGCACCGAGAGCCATCTGTCGAAGTTACGTATCCACGTGGACAAACGCAAAAATAGCTTCCCACAGTGTTGGAACATTCACCAGTTTCACATATCCCAGGAATGACGCTGCACTCATCGATGTCTAATCAAGGAAAGAAGAAGACGATTGAGAAAGGCCTTCATTAAAGAGCTTTTAAAAGGGATTAAAAAAAAGAGTAGGAGAGCACTCATGGTTGATTAGGTCAGATCGTATAACCCTGAAGATACTCTTGTTTCAGGCCCTAAAGAATTTCTCACATATATCTATGGGAACTGAGATGAAAGTCAACTCCCATGGCAGTAAAACAAAGCCAACTAAAGCAAAACTCTATATCCTTTTTTTTTCAAATGCAATTTAAATTGGGAATAAGTAAAGATGTTAATGTTTTAGATTCCACTCTACATCAATTAGGAATTATTCTATTACAGCTTTTAAAGAGATTATATTTTGAAATATGGAATAGCTACATTTAAAATTTTTATAGCTAATTTTTACACTAATTATTTGAACCAATGTAAGATGGAATTTTTTTTTTTTTTTTTTCCTAGCGGGCTTCAGGAAATGTTTTTGTACTTACATCTGAATATGGGTATACTTGACATTCTGGGAATTCATTTCAAATCTAAAATAATACAGAAACATAGCAAAGGACAAACCTGGGGGGCTTTGGGAGGTGTCCAGTTTTCCCAGCGAACCTCCCTGCACTTATTCATTCAGCTTACTCAATGCTGGGACTAGTCTATTCCCTTTCACATTAATGAAAGGTCTGCTTTCTTTTAAACTTTCCCTAAAGCAGGAAACCTGGCCATTTATATAAGCTTTAATGCCCTTTTTTTCTAGTTCAATAAGCTGAGAGAGGTGGAAAGTCAAACAAAGCTACAATTAGGTACGCTGGGAGCTAATTGCTAATACATTTAAAAGGAAATGAGCCATTGTGAGAAAAATCCTGCCATGAATGTTGGGAGTTGGTTGTCCTTTTGAAGGACTAGAGCTAGCAAAGGCCAGTGAATATAGGGACCAATTTTATAAAAGCCACAAACAGATAATTACTAAAATGTGAATCTGAGCATTTAATTTCTTTTAGTTGCATTTATTTTTTTAGGAATGTATTAATAAAAGCACAAAAATGATATTGTTATTGTGAATATAAGAAAAACTTTAACCTTCATAATTAAAATAAACAGTTGGCAATACCTTTTGAATTCTTCTATTGTTCTGTTCATCTTTTTGTTTCCCATTCATTCTGACAAGTCACTTTTACCTATGACTTGTATCAGGAAATAACTATATGCTTGTATGTCTTCTTGGAATATTCATATAAAAAAAGTTCCCAGATTCAGACATTCTCTGAAATAATATCTTCATTTGAGGCTTAACAGTTAGCCACTGAAGGCACAGTTGTACAAATTAAAATCTACCAGTTCCCTGAGAGACCAGAATTCTAACGTGAATTGACTGCATGAGGAGCAAATATATAATGTGGTTAGTTGCCATCAGATTTAATCCAATAAAATAAAACCACGTGTGCAAAATCAGGACCTGTTGCATCTTGTGTTGCTATCTTAGTGCGGTGCATCATCATAAAACTGAATGTGGATTCAGAAGAGAAAGGAAACTAGAACAGCTGTACTTTGATTATTAATAAATCGATCAATCGCTTCTGGATAAAGAAGGCAAAAAAAGAGAAGAGCACAAAGTACAGCAGCAAGAAGCAAAAAAGTGAAGGACCAAAAATTTTGCTTTTTAATCCTCTTACATCTAAAGTTATACCAACAATAAAGGCACTTATGGGGGGCCCCTGGATTGATCCAAATTCTTAAAATTTAGGAACTTAAGTCTTCCATTTAAATAGTAACTCTTATTTCCGGGCATTTCCTTTCATAACAAAGAACTTCTTTGTGCTCTACTTCCAAATACCCTTCTTGACAATAAAGAGAGTACAAAATTGAAAGATGTTTGACATTTTTCTTTTTCAAGGAAAAAAAAATCTGGAACAGAGAACACATGAAATGATATTAAATTTGTGGTTTTTGTGTTAAATACTTTGTACAAAAACCCCATGTTTCACGATTCTCATTAGAATTAAATTGCAACTTTAAAAAGTTAGCTTCAAAATTATATGTAAAAGGCTCTCATTAAAATATCTAAGAATTCTATATGAAAAATAGGATATTTTTCATTTATTTTGGGGATAAATCTCTCCCCTCAATTTAAAAAATTAAAACATTTATGCTTTTTAATTTTACTGCATTTCAACATAGTCATGCCCAATATTCATCCATGAATTTAAATTTAAATTTAACATTTATATTAAGAAAGTTGCATTTAGCTCTTTTGTAGTTTTAGTTCTTCAAGACCATATGTCATAATCATATTTGGAAGTATTATCTTTTCAAATATAAAGTGTATGTTGCCTAGGTATAAACAAGTGTGCCAAGTCTACTCATGGGAAAAGGCAGTCTTAATGAGAATTG